CTTTTTGTTTTTGGGATGTCTTGTTTTATTTCTTTTGTAAACGCTTTTAAATTAGATATATTAGAGCTTATATTCATATGTTTTATATAATGCAGAATTTAAATAAAATTTCTATCTATCTACAGTTGTTTTACAGAATTTTTTGCGAACAAGGTGACCGCAATTTGTGATAGATTTCGGGGCAAACCGTGACCTTCTTTCCAACTCATCTGAAGAGCACGTATACCATAGAACGAGTTATTAATAAACCAATGTTATAGAGTCATTCAATTGTTTTCATTATCTTTTATATTAATACAAAGCCACTCCTTCATTTCATTACTGCCTACTATCACATGGTCTTTTAATCTCTATTTCAATCATATATTGCAAACACTACATTCCTCATTTTAGCAATTTATGACAAATACACACTCACATTAATTATCACAGATTTTGGGGTAAGATAATATCGGAAGTGTCTCTTCATTGGTCTGAGAATTGCATTATTTTGTTTTAATAAAGGAACGCATACTAGCAATCAAGTCACTGAAAAACACTCTCATGCAACGACAACTTCTATCTAAAAGAGAGGCGAAAGATACCAGAGGGACATCGAAACTCACAAGTCGAAAACATTACATTTCGGAAATGTCCATATTTATTAACTCTACTAATTGAACTTTCATCTAAGATAAATGTATTAGCTTGCATATTATGATTAACAGTTACTTCAAATAATCCATCTCCTGGAGTAGTATAGAACCACACCTGATAAACAGTATACACAACTGCTGTATTATCCGATAAATCTGCTCGGAAACCGTCAGCATCATTAGTCTGTTTGACAGAGTTTCCGATGAGGTTTCAGATATCCAATCTGTGTCTTCATAACACTTTACAGGATCAACGGAATGAAAATGCATAATCTCCTTCAAATGGATTTGATTTTGGTTAAACACATACTTGGTCTCTTTTTTGTGATTTTAATAGAAAAACAAAGGATATGGGGTATCAATCCATGACACAAACTCAGTACATGCACAGCAAAAGAACACACAATAATCAAAGGAACACCACTTTTATTGCTGTTCTTTATCTCAAATTTACAATGAGGCCTTCAACACGGAGCCAAAAAAAAAACAAAAAAAAACTCTCACCTCACTGCAAGTTTAAGACGGCCCCTAGCACCGGCTTGAGCGGAATTCTTTGCAAAAATAAATTCAGATAGATTTTGTAAGATGTAACACTACCTAATCGGGCCCTGTCAAAGAAGAACATACTGGAAAATAGTACATATTTAAAACAAAATAGTTCCTACGCAAAGGTATAAATCTAAAACTATGTAGCATAATATATTTTAAAAAAAAAACAATTATAGACACAACGCACCGAAAAAAAGAGTAATTGCAGTTACTGACAGCTAGTTCAAAGCCAATTACAACAATTGTTGATTTGGAATTTAATGTTCATTTGTTTTAGAGAAACATGCCCAACCCAGTTTACTCAAATAATATAAATGATGTTTATATGAACTTTGTCAAAACATTTGAAAGTACTGTCAATAGATATATACCTACTAAAATTATTACAATACGACCAAATGATAAACCATTTATGAACAACTTAATTAGAAACAAGATAAAAAATCGAAATAGAATTCACTTTAAAGCAAAAACTTCAAATAGTCCAGATCACTGGAAAAAATTTAGAGAAATTCGTAATGAAATTATCTGTTTAGTTAGAAAGGCAAAAGATGACTATAAGAGCAAACTGACATCACAACTTATTGATAAAAATATTCCTCCTTGTAAATGGTGGTGCATTGCCAAGTTCGTGTCAGTTTTTACAAAAGAACAGAGATTCACCCCCTTTTTTAGAACATGATGGCAAAATTTGTATTCATCCATTGGACAACTCAGAGATCCTGAACAATCATTTCGCTAATATAGCTAATATTGATACGGAACCAGAAATTCCTGAAAATAAAAATCCTCCTCCATGCCATTTAAACACATTCGTCACCACTGAGAAAATTTTAGACCAGTTAAAAATTTTGAATATAAATCAACCAGCTGGACCTGACGGTATCAGTCCTAGAATTTAAAAAGAGGTTGCTAGCTTTATTTCTAAATCATTAACTAAATTATTTAATATGTATCTTTCAGTTAAACAGGTTCCATTGTTATGGAAAATTGCACTTGTTAATCCGATTTTCAAAGGAAAAGGTAGTCCACATTCAGCTCTTAACTATCGTCCAATTTCTGTTACTAGTATTATACGTGATCTTATGTCAGTGAAATTAAAAGCGGGAATCTAGAAAACCACGTGATAAATAAAAATGCAAGGTTTCTATCATTTTTCGTCATAATGAAATTATTTTATATGGACGAAAATTCCTGTGTGTGATTTTAAAAGTCTTGGAATACTTTGTTTAAAGTTGAGCGACGTATTTAATCAAATTCAATGGTTGGCAATAACCAGTTCCATTGGGTCCGTACGTCGTGTTACGTACGTATGTCATCTTATTGGAAATCTCTAATAACACTGAGCTTTATTTAATATGAAACATTCTAGTACTTTAAATAGTGTAGAGTTACATTTAAAGTGATAGATAGATAAGTTTTGTATTTGAATAATACAGAAATGTAGGTGTGTATTTTATTTAATTAATATACATGGTAAGCTTTGTGTTCTATGTTGTTTTCTTGTAATGGCTGTGCTGTCTAGTTTTATTTTAAGTAGTTGTCTGTTTATGTGAAATGTAGTTTTTGTGGTATTTTTATGTTGATCAGAATTTGTATACAAATCTTTTTGTAAAGTGGACAACTCATTAAGAGATTTGAGAATTATTTATTATTATAAGATACATATGAATATTGTATTGGGCTTATTTTAATATATAGATATTTGAATGCGAATAAATTGCAGGTATTCCCCTTTGCCCATATGTTACATGTAATGTCTTGTCATGTGAATATTTATTATTTGTTATTATATGTCTTATATGTTCTAGGGTTTAAATATTGTGTATTAAAAGAAAAGGAACCTGAGCTTATCATTTGACCAAGAAAATACCCCGTTACATACTTATTTGTCGACTTAATTAAGTATAATGCCTGCTTCTCCAAACCATATAACGAGACAAAAAAGATTTTTTAAAACAGCTCGAGTACCTTTACTATTTGGGCGTAATCATGTCAACAATAATTAGAATAATAGAAAGAGCTTTATCATTTATTTATGCCAACTACATATCCTCATCTGAAACTTTTCTGGAGAACTCTCACGTGAGGAACGTAAGCGCAATGGGACTTTAGGCTTACACATTTTGAATAAACTTGCTCCTCTGTTTACCAAAATTTAACGTTTCGAATATTTTTAGTAACGGTAACTTCCTGCAAAGCAGTTCCTATGACTAGATATGATAAGATTTGCCACTGCCTCTCTTTGAAATTGCGTTGCGGACCACTTTTGCACTGAAAAAAGTTTGATAGAAGTCTTGTTCAGTCCTTGAGGGTTCTGGTTCCTGTTATTCTGTTTTAGGGTAATCAACAGCATGACCCTTCCTAAGCTAGCTTCCATTTTTACAACTGCGTTCAAATTTATGGCAATGAATTTCCTTTTGGTGGATGCACTATGCTTATTAAATTTCTATATTTTCTAAATATAGTTTTATTTCATATACTAGTATTTGAATAAGTTACATTGTTACATATTTTAAAACTACACCATTGAAATGGACTGTCATAGTGCTTTATATGGCAGTCGTCTCTTGTGTGCAAGATTTGTGCTGTTTAATTATAAATTTGCATGCCTGCATTGAATGTTCCATTTTCTGTTGATCTACTTTCATGTGTCCTAAACAAATTCTCAAGGAGGCGTTTGCCAGAGTTCTATGTAAATTTTTATAAAGGCTTGCTAGAAACCTTTTTTATATTTGAGATTATACATGGCAGTATTCAATTATGTTTTATATGTGCATAAATCAGGCCAATGGTTTTCTCTTATTATTTTAGATATTGTCATGCCGGGTACTTTTATAGCTTAAAATGTTGTTCGGGTTTTGATCATTTTTGAAGTCCACACAATGCCCTGTAGTTGTAAACATCTTCGTCCATTGCTTCCTGGTGAATCATACCACATCTCCTTACTGTTTTTTTTTTGGATGTCTTGTTATATTTGTTTTGTAAACGCTTTTATATTAGATGAAAAGCTCATCAGAGCTTATATTCATGTTTTATGTCAACCCACCATTTTTATATCAACCATTTTTTCTTAAAATGTTCTGTACCAAGTCAGGAATATGGCAGTTGTTATCAAATATTCCGTTTCTATATATGTTGGCGTTTGTTTTTGTAGCAGTTTAATGTTTATCTTGTTCCGTTGTTTTCCTCTTATAGTTGATGTGTTTCCCTCGGTTTTTGGTTTGTGACCTGGATTTGATTCAGTTAAATCCATTCATGATTACTGAACAGCGGTATACTACTATTGCCTTTATTTATACTAAGCAGAATTTAAATAAAATTTCTATTTATTTACAGTTGTTTTACATAATTATTGCGAACAAGGTGACTACAATATCAGATAGATTTGGTGACAAACCGTGACCTTCTTTCCAACTCGTCGTAAGAGCACGTATACATAGAACGAGTTATTAATAAAACCAATGTTGTAAAGCCAATCAATTGTTTCCATTATCTTTTATATTTATTAACTCTACTAATTTGTTTTTTATCTAAGATAAATGTATCAGCTTGTATATTATGATTAACAGTTACTTCAAATAATCCATCTCCTGGAGTTGTATAGATCCACACCTGATAAACAGTATGCACAAATGCTGTATTATGCGATAAATCTGCTCGGAAACCGTCAGCATAATTAGTCTGTTTAAATAGAAGTGCTGTTTTATAATTATAAATTTGCTTCCATTTCCTGTTGATCTACTTTAAAGTGTCCTTAACAACTTCCAAAAGCGGCGTTTGTCAGCGTTCTATGTAAATCTTTAAACAAGCATGCTTGAAACATGTTTTATATATAAGATTTTACATGGCTGTATTCAATTATGTTTTATATATGCATATTAGTCAGACCATTGGTTTTCTTTTATGAATTATTTTTGATATCGTCATGCCGGGTACTTTTATAGCTTACAATGTGGGATGGGTTTTGATCATTTTTGAAGCCCATGCAGTGCCCTGCAGCTATTTACATCTTCGTCCAATGCTTTCTGGTTAACAGAGTCTCATTGGCAATCATAACACATCTCCTTATTTTTTTAATATTACTTTTATTTGTTTTGTATACGCTTTTATATTAGATACAAAGCTCATCAAAGCTTATACTCATATGTTTTATACTATTCAAAATTTAAATAAAATTTCTATTTATCTTCAGATGTATTACAGATTAACGTGACTGTATCTGATAAATTTTGGGGCAAACCGTGACCATATTTCAAACTCGTCTTACGAGTCCGTATATCATAGAAGGAAGTATTGATTTATAAAACCAGTGTTATAAAGCCAATCAATTGTTTCCATTATCTTTTATATTAACACAAAGTCACTCTCTCTTTTCGTTACTGCCTACTATCACATGGACTTTAATCTCTATTTCGATCATATATTGCAAACATTACATTCCTCATTTTATAAGAATAGTAATTTTAAAGTTTCATGACTAATACACACTCACATTAATTATCACAGATTTTCGGAAAGATCACTTCAGAAGCGTTTCTTCATTTGTCTGAGAATTGTATTATTTTGTTTTAATATAGAACAACGCGTGCTAGCAATCAAGTCACTGAAAAGCAGTATTATGCAACGACGACTTCCATTTAAGTTATGTCGAATTTTCAAACGAGGAATAATCCTTCATCTCACTGTGTTTCGTTCATTTGTAACAATAACAATATTTCCGGAGTTCCTCGTGTTCTTTTTCAATACATTTAGGAGCATTTCCATACTTATTAACTCTACTAATTGAACTTTCATCTAAGATAAATATATTAGCTTGCATATTATGATTAACAGTTACTTCAAATAATCCATCTCCAGGAGTTGTATAGATCCACACCTGATAAACAATATGCACAACTGCTGTATTATCCGATAAATCTGCTCGGAAACCGTCAGCATCATTAGTCTGTTTGAATAGAAGCATATCTGTTTCTGGTAACAGTTTTTGTGCTCTCAAAACATTTCTAAGTGTTAATTTTTGACAGAGTTTCCGATGAGGTTCTGTCAATTTATTTATTTCAGAAACTACATAATTTGAAATTTTAAGCACTGCCTGGTCGTCGTTATTTAGACTTTCCCAATTTAAACATGCACACCAATGAGTTTCAATTCCTGCGCTGACACATGTTCTTGTTTTAGGGATTTCTTTGAACAAACTAATTCCTCTGTTATTTATATCTCCTTTTCCTACACCTTTGAAGTTTAGAATGTCTAAGAAGGTAGGATGTAAGTCAAATGGACAAGTTAATCTATCAACATTTAATTTGAAGTTTCGATATGCTGAACTATGTTTAGTTTTAAACCACTCTGGAAAAGAAAATCCAAAAAACGGAAGTCTTTCTTCTTGTTTACCTTGCAACGAAGATCGAAGACTGCTGAATCTCGCCCCATGGTCGCTCATTAAAATCACAAGAGTATTTCTCAAATATTTCCCATCATTTAGAAATTTTAATAGATTAAACAAATCTTCATCTGCAGTTTCAACCATATTGTTATCGTCATGACTGACTTCATTATTGAAACCGAATACAAACTTTGGAACTTTGTCATATGTAGTATAAATGTCACGAATCCATTGCATAAAAACTTGAGATCTTCTTTTACTACCTAAGCACAATTTTTTGTGTTTTCCATAGTATTGTTTTTCTGCAGTTACATAAAACGGTCTCATATAATGATCAGTAGGATTGTCCTTGAAGCCAACCATTCTATATGTAAATGTTCCTATATCTGGACTGTCTTCTCCCCATGCAGTAACGTATCCATTCTTCTGAAAATCTTTCCAAACCATTGGGTAAATATCGACGAAGTCCTTTTTAGCTAGTCTTTTTAGTGTTCGAGGTAATTCTAATTCTGTTTTACCTGTAAAAATGGGTATAAGGGCTTGTGGTGTTCCATCACCAACGATATTATATCCGTTTAATGTTGTTCCTTTTAAATTCTCCGTGAAATATTGATATGTCTTTTTCAATTTTCTTATATATGTCATATGAGACAGAGAATCAAAACCGATCATCAATACATCTAAACCTAGACTAAAACTAAGATTGGCTGTCTTTTTGTGATATTCTGGTACATTTCGCACGCCGACATGTACATTTTCGTACACGTTTTTGTCTTTCGCTGTGCAGTGAACTTTCACAAAATCAGATTTAAGAGTAAGTACTGAAGAATCAGTTAAAGTTACAGTGTCCAAATCTTTGTTCTGAAAGTCATCAATACGATCAAAATAAGTAAGTTTACAAGAAATACTTCCATGTTTTTTCTTAGCTTCAGATGTAATAAAGACAGTTCCATTCGATACAGACATCCAATCCGGGTCTTCAGAACACTTTACAGGATCAACGGAATGAAAATGCTTAGCATAATCTCCCTCAAATGGATTTAATTTTGGTTGAACACATACTTGGTATCTTTTTTTGTGATTTTGTATCGAACTAGTAGAGGCCATTGTTGTAGGTGATACAATAGACTTTGACACTGAAATCCCAATATTCGACTTTGACACTGATATCCCAATATAAATACCTGTCAATACAAAACCAATCACTAGCAGTAGTCTCTTAGTTCCTTGACGCATTTTGAAAGAAAATAAGTTCATTCTCGTATTAATTTTTCACTTTGATTAATTTCCGCCAATCTGATTAAAATATATATATCGTTATTCTCATATGAAGTTACGATTAATCGATATTTTAATTACATTTAATTTGCGCCGTATTCTTGAAAAGCTTTATTTCAAATTCAAGTATTTTATTTGCTGAGTTGACCTATATATTTAGTTTGTCATAAAGGCCCTGATCGAGGGCAAAAACATGAATAAAAGCTTAACATAATTAGAGCTATAAAAGAGATAAAAATCTTTTATTTCTCTCTCTCTCATTTATTTATTAATTATGCTAAAATTTACTCATTTGTTTGTAACAATTTGAATTTGATCGACTTACTTTGGTCATGTAGCTGGGTTAAAATATTAATAGCTAGAATTGGATAAATACGTTATTCTTAGCCAGTGTCCTAGCTAGGCCATTTTTTTTTTTTCGTATTTTTATTTTTTTTATTCAACAACAACTAATTGCACTTTCTGCTGTTAACAATGTACTTCACTAGTCCAGCATTCCAGTGAAGAGTCCCTGTTTGTTAATACCAGAAATCCAGGGTTGTTTTCTGGTTAGCATCATTATATTAAATTAACATTAGTTTTAATTTAACAGCTAATTTATAAAATAGTAATAGCAATAGTAACATACTTTAGAGTCTCAATTAGTTTCCTTTTTATGTTTAAATCATTCATTGTTATAAAAATGAGGAAATGTCGTATGATTGCTAATGAAATAATTATCAACCAGAGTTAAAAAGTAGAAATAAGCAGTTATAGACAACTGCACGGCCTTCAACAATGAGAAAAAAAATACAGAATAGTCGGCTATGAAATAAAATGTGAAACATTTTGAATGAGAAAACTAACAGCCTAATCTATAACAAAACAAACGAAAAACGAAAATGGCAGACATGAACCAACGACAATAGGCTCCAATATGTTCTACAGGCTTCTGACCTGGAACAAGCACGTAAAGAATATGACAGGGTTAAACATGTTAATGAGCGCCCAACCCTCCCTTAACCTTGAAAAGTCGTGTAACAGCACAACATAAGAACAAACTGTTAAAATCTGTTGCAATTGGCTTAAGGAGAATCCTCACTACATATTTCCACAGATAGAATTTTCTAATACTTTAAGGAAATTTCAAAACTTATGATATAAGTATAGGTCAACGTGCTATTTTCCAAACAACAAATCGTGCAAAATTGCCAAACTTTGCATAGATTATTCATGACAAACGCTTTTTTGTGAATAAAAAAAAAAGGTAAGAAGAAAGAATTTTGAAATAAAATATGAGAAGATAAGTTTTATAAAATGATTTAAGAAATTAAAAAAAAAATAATGTCACGGAACTTGTTCTTGCTACAAGTAAAAATTGAAAATTTCATTAAAATTTCAGTATAAAAGTTTTACTATAAGAGTTATATCTCCTTATAAAGCTAAGTTAAAAAATTGAATCGAAGAAGAACATATATTTAGTATTTGTTAAAACAGTTTGAATAATCCAACAAATCACTTATTTTTCTTTGTTTAGATAAACAGTCTTACACATTAAATGCCAATAAGGCAATCAAAAATAAAAGAGGAAATCCAGAAATGTGAATGTTATCTTTGCGGACTGAAATATGCAAAATTCATGAATTTATCATGAAAGTGCAAATGTATCAACTGTTTTCTAATTTTGGTAAACGGTTTTTGATAACTTCATTGGTTTGAATAAGTTTCTTCTCTGTAAGAAACAACAAAATTAGAAATATCTTCTCTCAGCCCTTAAAAGAAGTCAAAGAAAAGTCAGTTTAATAACAGTCTTACACATTAAATGCCAATAAGGCAATCCAAAATAAAAGAGGAAATCCAGAAATGTGAATGTTATCTTTGCGGACTGAAATATGCAAAATTCATGCATTTATCAAAAAAGTGCAAATGCATCAACTATTTTCTAATTTTGGTAAACGGTTTTTGATAACTTCATTGGTTTGAATAAGTTTCTTCTCTGTAAGAAACAACAAAATTAGAAATATCTTCTCTCAGCCCTTAAAAGAAGTCAAAGAATAGTCAGTTTAATAAAACCTAAAATATAAAATCTAAATAAGAATATTTGGAGCAGTTAGTTTGTTGGAAACATTTCTAGCCTTAAATGAATTTAGATCATTGGTTAAATTCTTTTAATTATGAAGCAAATAACGTGAATGTGAGTAACACAATAATGTTCAATTTATCTTGAAATCACATGAACTTACCTGACAACTTACCTCACATTTCGGCTTCAAACAGTATAAATAAAGTTGGGAAATAATTTATATTTTAAACAAGCGTACATGTTTGTAAACTTTTAGACTCCACTTTCAGGTAATTATGCAGAAAGAAAATGTCTCATTTGAAAAATGTCAAGCGGAATATCTTTTAATAGGTCAATCAAAAAATAGAATAAGATGTATCTAAAAGACAACGATTGAATAAAAAGTAAAATAACAAAAAATACTGAGCTCAAAGGCTAATTCAAATAGGAAAGTCCCTTATCAAATGGCAAAATCAAAAGCTCAAACACATCAAACGAATTGAAAACAACTGTCATATTCCTGACTTGGTGTAGGCATTTCCTAATGTAGAAAATGGTGGATTAACTTTGTCTTTTAGCTAAGTTAACTCACTTGTATGACAGTCGCATCGAATTCCATTATATTGACAACAATGTGTGAACAAAACAAACAGACATTATAGGTAAAAATGTAAAAAATAGGGGTACAGCAGTAAACATCGTGTTATAATCTTAAACACTGTAAAACAAACAAATATATCAACAAAGAAAAACAAAATGAGATAAAGACAAAGCACATAATCAAAAATAAAAGACAAGAATACAAAAGATTACCACAGCACAACAACACATTGGCGGGATAAAACACATCCTAAATATATAGCCTTTAAAATGAACATTTAAATGAAATTTTGTATATTGAAATTTTTCGGAGTAAATAAACTCACCGATTAAATTGCAAATTATCGTTTTTTTGTCTGTGTTACATATTAATCCAAATCAAATGTAATTTGTATTTCCAAAATCAATTTAGGAAAGAAAGTTTACGTTGCCAAAGTGATCATATGAACTGTATCAGATTTTAGTGTGTTGATACTTCTGTAAACAAGAGACATATATGTTCAAACAGATATGTTCAATTCTTATCAGTTGTGTGTTAATGAATTAATTATTGATTTAATTGATGATCTTGTCAGCATATGTTGACTATCCTTGTTGGAGACGGTTTAATATAATACTAAAAGGTGTTTTGTTCTTTTATTCTTGTTAGTTGTCACAGGCTGCCCTGGTCACAATTTTTGCCACATTTTGGTAGTTTTTACCTTAAATGTCTGTATTTTCTGTGAAATTCTATCTTTTACCAAGAAGGTTATATAAGAAGGAGATTGAACACACTGCTTGAATTAAAATTAGCATCCCCAGCAATTCGATCAGAGGAAAATGATAAAAATGCAGAGAAACCGAAATGTTTATCACCCACTTGATAAGGCCCTCTGATGTACCAGGCTGTTACCGCGAACAGTCCGTGTGATTAGGAGAATCGCTAATCTCACGTGATTGTAATCGGTGATTGTGCAATATCATTTGACGCGAAATTCGCAAGTATATCGTCTAACTACGGTGAAAATCGACTAAGAAATGACAAGGTTATGAGGATTAAAAGAAAAAGAATGCAATTTCTATTGAACCCCACCTTGCTTTAAACAAAGATTATCGCTTCACCTGTATGACGCTGCCAATGGTAATTAGTAGGTAATATCATTGAAAATAGTGGAATATGTGAGGTACTTTCGTTATGGTGACAGGCTGCGACCGGAGCGAATATTTGTAATTGAAACGAAGAGAAATTTATCGGAAGCCATTTAAAAGTTTGTTTCTCATTGCGTAAGACTGTAGATGTAGGCATAGGCGCTTAGATTTTCACTTTCCATGTTGGCTCCTGGAAATGGGAAATGGTAAAAGTAAAATCACAAAAATACTGAACTCCGAGGAAAATTCAAAAAGGAAAGTCCCCAATCAAATGGCAAAATCAGAAGTTCAAACACATCAAACGAAAGGATAACAACTGTCATTTTCCTGACTTGGTACAGGCATTTTCTTATGTAGAAAATGGTGGATTGAACCTGGTTTTAGCTAAACCTCTCATTTGTATGACAGTCGCATCAAATTCCATTATATTGACAACGATGTGTGAACAAAACAAACAAAAACAATAGGTAGAAATGTCACAAATAGGGGTAAATAGTCTAATTCGGTAGGTCACATTCGTGAAAAGGGAACTGGATTGTAGTTACGACATAAGGAACATATCCGATATCATCTGTGAAACGGATATTTCATAACGGTCAACCAACTCGTGATGATTCCAACTTCACAATTTGGAACTCTTGGTTTAAAAATGAAAATCCACAATTGGGAAGCTGAAATCATCTCTTTTGTAGTAAAGTTTTGTTTTCAACCGACCCTCATAGTCAATTTCTAGATATAAGTCATAATCAAATGGCAAAATCAAAAGCTCAAACACATCAAACGAATGGATAACAATTGTCATATTCCTGACTTGGTACAGGTATTTTCTTATGTAGAAAATGGTGGATTGAACCTGGTTTTATAGCTAGCTAAACCTCTCACTTGTATGACAGTCGAATCAAGTGATATCCTCGAAAGGAATATGTGAGGTACTTTTGTTAAAGTGACCGGTTGCGACCTGAGCTATTTAATTTTATTGAAACAGAGGAATTTATCCGAGAACCACCATAAAGTTCCAGTCTTTCTCCAGGTGGAATGCTGTAGACATCAGGACATGGCAGTTTTTCTTTTCTCATTAAAATCGTTTCTCTGCAAAATTAAATGTTTTTGCATCGGTTCATCTTATTTTGCAATATTTTTAATTTGGTTTCCATTTAAAATGACGGGCTCTCACTGAAAGCAAAGAAAGAAACAAAACAAAAATAATGCAAAGGCA